GAGGAGGGCGACGAGCAGGCGGCTCCTCCTCTCGGTGCCGGGAGTGCTGTTGGGCGTCCTGTGCTTCGCCTTTGTGCTGGATTGCATCTTCTTTCGGGGGGTGGCCGGGGAGTCCTCCGAGGATGTGCCTTCGCAGGTGAGTGGGCGGCTTCTTTTTGGGGATCTGCTTCTCCGTGAGACGAGCGGGGCACTTTGGTTCTCGGGAAAGCGCGCATATTCGCAGGATATCTCGATCTGAACTGCAGCAAAAGTGAGTGAAAGGTGTTCTGAACCGCAAAGCACCCGTGAGGTATTTGCCCTCAACCGTCAATTCCCGAAATCCAGAGAAAATTATTACTTTCTTAATTACCTCGTACCACCGTCTCCATCTTGCTGGCCGTTGCCGCCAAATGAGTCGTGAAAAAATAATACAGATCATGTTCATTCCCACGACTCTGCTTCTCCTTCAGTCGTTGAATGCATAGCCTCACGCAGATGAACCTTCTGTTCCTTTCGTGACTCTCCTTTGGTGTTCACGACGCAAAGAAAGTGTTCCAGTATAAGCCGAGGGGAGTAAGCATGATGCATGAAAAGAACTAGAAATGTCCTTCATCCTCCTCCAAGGGCGCGTGCTGCTCTCAAACCCCTCACCTGCTGTCAGCCTCTCGTCTTGGATCCGACATTCAGGGTGACATGGACGAATGAAGGACGTAGCGAGTTATCCATTTCAGAAAAGTCTACCGTTCATGATGAATTTAGAAAGGAAAAGGAGGTGGAATTTCTCCAAGTGCATCCCGCCCCGAGCAGCGCTATAACCAACCAGAGTTCCTCTTCCACCGAGACGGCGGAGGGTCTGAAAAAGTAAGAAGTGACCGTACCTCTCCCACCTCCATTCTCTCGTAGGAATCACTGGTGGAGAGGCTGAAGGCAGCCCATCCGGGGATGACCCTGGACGACACCGAGGAGTTCGGGATCCTGCTCGACGCGGCGCCTGCGAGGACCCCGAGGGCACGGAACCCAGAGGACATCACCTGGGTCACCCAGTGCTCCATCGAGCACTTGCATCGCGTCGCGAGGCTGGCCGACGAATGGCAGGTCTCCGTCCTTTCTTCGTCTTTAATACGATGGTAACGGATTCAGAAAGCAAAACGCCATGGAGTTCTGGGTAGTATCCTAGATAGAAGGATCGAATTTTAACGTCAGAATAACCATTGATGTATCCACGATACAAACTTCTATTCTGCGATAAGATGCTCTGTAAAATTTGCATAGTAGTGACTTGTTTTCAAAGATATTTAATAAATGCTTTTGTTCTCAATAGTACATAAAAATAGCACGTGCACAATATTTTAGTGACTCTAGGTATCATGTGGCAAGGAGCTATTAGGCGAATAGAATCTCCTCCTTAGAATGTACCTACTGCAATTTCGACCCATGTCAATCGGATTAATGATGTCCCTAAGGCCATTCTTTTAGCTCTTACACGATGCATGACTGGAGTTCAACGATATGCTCGCTCAATTGCATAGGCTCCGGAACATACATATTTCAGTTCCTCTTCCGTAAAATATGCTGGAAAGGTTCCAAAACGTCCGAATGGGGTGCAATATGTAACGTGGGGTTTTATGCAGAAGTGGGGAAGCGTCGACTTATCAAACAATGGAAAAAACTCAAGATGCTAGAAGATGCCGATCCCAAGTTCGAATTTTGAGGAAAGATTTCCCGCAGAGATTTGCTTATAGAGCGTAGCTTAACAGAAATAATTTGACATGGATGAAATGCTCTAATCTAATACTAGGTATGACAAAAAAGGCCAACGAATTTTAGCATAATATCTCAGGTCGAAATGGAACTACAGTCGAACTCGGTTATAACGTCATCGAAGGGACCAGGTAAAAACCGTCGTTATAACCGAGGTTGCCTTTATTGGCACTCCGTTTTCCTGTTTTCAAAATTGATGCTATATTTCTTGTTTTGTGACATGTTCTCGTAGGCACGGATGAAGCTGTCACGATTTTCCCAAATTGTGGAAACAGATGAACAGATGTCCATGTTCGCGAGCGACGTTAGCTTCACTTCGAGCTCTTTCTATAAAATTAATCAAGCACACTTTCCTTTCCATCGTGATGCCTCTTTCTTTTTCCATTGGCCATGTTGTCAACGAGAAATGCAAATGGCGACTGAAGATGAGGTGATCTTGGTTACTGGGGATTATCCCTCCATAATCCCTCCATAATCCCTCCGGCCACGCCCACATGACTCTCAAGGAATGCCGAATCCAGGAAATATAAAGTTATGGCTCGTCAACGCTAATTTTTCCGATGACGGAAATTTCAGTTAAGAATGACGGATTAGGGATATAAACGTTGTCGATTTCGTCTGTGTGACCTTCAATGGACTTCGTTATGACCGAGTTCGACTGTACTTTCTCAAGACTGGATATATGTGCATGTTTCCAACTGATTCTGAAATTTTAAATAAGAATTTCAAGAGCCAAAGCAAAATTATCAGTTATTAATGGAAAGTAGTTGAAAAAAAATCACCCGAGCTCAGTCCATCCTGGTCATCGACAACGCGTCAAACTCGTTTGCGATATTTGGACTGGTCGTCTCGTCTAATTTTTTTTTGTATGAGCTTATTCCCAATGAATAGCAGATGAATTTATTAAAATTTCGATCAGAATTTTTCTCGCGAGAGGAGAACCTGAGAGACGGGGACGAAAGGGCACGGGTAAGGAGGTAATTGACTTTGAGAGTCTGTATCTAAGGGCGCATTTTGTCATGTCATGACAAACGGAATTGATATAATATGGAATGTCTGTCATTCTCTCATACCAGGCACATTTTCTCTAATTCCTCAATAAAATTAATATCATCACCAATATTACCATATCGCTGCAATCAATAGACTGTCTGCAAGGGAAGACCATTCTAAGAATGATATTAAATTGCAGAGGAGTCTGACGTGTTCTCGATGGAGGAAATGCTCTCCAATGTTTACCAGTAAGAGTTCTTGACCGTTTTCAACATTTTACTACTCTTCAGTAATTGCTGATGCGATTGCTTAGGCTGAAGAACTCGGAATGAAAATTTCAGAATCAGTTGGAAGCACACTTGTATTCCAAGAGAAAGTTTCGGGGAAACAATTCCATTGGTGACGGAGGCATTTAGGTCAAAAGTAATTACTCTTCTTTCATTGTCAATGTCCCGTAGATTCTAATTGCAGGCAAATTTCAACGTACCAGTAGATGTATCTTGCATGTAGGACAAATGATTTTTTTTTCTTCACTTTTCTTCAACGCTAAGAATGGCCTCTCCTACGACAGGGTCCGGTGTCCCTCGTGGCGTTCATGTCGACTCCGAATTACATCAACATCACCATGAGGGTGATCGAATGCCTGCATGCGGCATACCCGTCCGTGTCAGAGCACGTGACCTTTCACTTCGTGTTCCCCGTGAAAACCATGGCGGACGAAGCGAACCTGAGTTTGAAGGCAACGAAGGATGCGGCTCTATCGTGCGATGCCGTCTTCGCGGAACTGCTCGTGGGAGAGCAGCGGAGGACAAACTACGCCCGTCAGGACGTGCAGTACCCGCACAATCTGCTGAGGAACGTGGGTCGGAGGGCGGCACGGACCGAGTTCGTGTTCGTCGTGGATGCGGACTTTCTTCCCAATCCGGGCATGAGGAAGGATTTCCTCCGATTCGCTAAGAGGGAACGTCTCTTCCACCCCCGGGCATCCTCGAAGAAGACAGTCTACGTCGTGCCTGCGTTCGAGGGCGACATGGGGATGCCCACGCCAAACAACAAATCCGAAGTCGTATCTCTCCTGCGCGAGGGGAAGATTCGACCATTTTATGCGGCGGTCTCCATTTTCCAGCAGGTTAGTGATCTGTCGACGCGTTGACGAATTTAAGTTGTTCTGCGCGCGAATGTCAGCTTTTTAGGTAGCATGATTGCATTGTAGCAAGCATGATGTACAATCGTAGGTATAGCATCATATTGTCGAATTTCTCTTGTCCATCTCGGGAAATTCATGTTCGTTGTAGTAGTTGCATAGTTCCGCTAGGAATGTACTGTAGATCTTGAAAGAGGTCTCGGCAGCACAGTTTATCGGACCAAAATGACAATATTGGTGCAGATTTGGACCACTACTGGTTCGAGTTTGGACCAATAATGGTAGGGGTAGGGCCAATGCTCGTCCAGGATTGGGCCAATATTTAAATATCCTCTTCTGCTCATGTGGCAGAGCTCCCATCAAATATCTCACCATGCTATGAAGCCCTTACCCCAAAGAGCACGAAGTATATGCATTACCTGAAATAGTTAATTAAGATAAGGGTAAGGGTCTTAAAGAAGTCTTAAAAGAGAACAAAGAAGATGGAAATCCTCATGTGTTGTCGGAATGTCCCATCAAATAGCCTCGTATCAATAGGAAACACAGGTCCATCCACCTTTGGAAAGGCAATCTTGGCCACCGGTGGATGGGATCCCGTGAGAACTGTGGGAAATTCACTGATTCGTGGGCTTCGTGTTCACACATGAGGATCGCTCCTTGCTTCAGGTCGGGAGGATTCTCTGACTCTCCTGCAGGATTTTCAAGAAGTCTAACTTTAGCGACTGGCATTTCGACTCTGCAAATTCAATGGTTGAGCATATTTATTTGCTGCTGAAATTGGGGATAATAGTTGTAATCAATGAATCAGAGAGGTTTACAGCATGTGGACGAATCTAAGCAGGTTGGGCGAATATTTCGGCAATCCTAAGGAAGGAAAATACTATGATGAGATGAATATGTGGATAGGAATATCTCCTTCTCAAGGGCAAAGAATGCGATTGCGTCCACGATTATCGCTTACATCCTTTATTATCGCATTTTCTAGCCCATTGATCGATCCGATAGATTCATTTATTTATTTATATCAGATCCACGAGGAAGACTATCTCCATTTCTAGCCTTTCGCCTTAATCTCGGGAGTCCCTTGGGGTCTCCTTGCGATCAAAAAAGGCGAGCTGGATCCTCAACTTGAAATAGTCATTAAGACTTACGGATATGCAACTCATAATGGATGTTCACTAGGGACTCCTGACATCGAAGTTCATGCGCCAGTGAGAATAAGTCAACATTAGTTTTTGGAAAAAATATAGGTTTATACTTCCATATACTTCCGCGGCTCAGAATCATGGGTCTGAACCTCCCTTAAGAAAGGTGGCAAGGTTAGGAGGTGAAAATCTGCAAGATAAATGAGGCGGGAAAAATCAGCAAATGGGGTGATGAAGACAAACATAAGAGATTTTCATTGCAGCCATCTAGGATGAGCGAACACGTCACAAACTGTTCAGGACCATCATGGGTATCACGCGCGCTCATGAAACTGGTCTTCAGTTTGTGTAGATTAACATATCATCTTGCATCCGTTTTCACCGCCAGGGAGCAACTCATTACAAGAGGTGGAAGCTGCTGCCCTCGCGGAAGGGGATCTGGACGGGATACGAAGTCAAGTGGAAGAACATGTACGAGCCTTTCTTCATCTCCAGGAACTCCGCGCCCTCCTTCGACGAGAGATTTCGCAACTACGGCTGGGACCGAGCTGCTTATGTGAGTGTCTCAAAATTCTCCCGCTTTTAGCTCAGTAATGATGCGACATAAGTTATACGAAGTATGTTGTTATCCCAGATGTGCGAACTGCACGTGGCTGGCTACCGCTTCGCCGTGTTGGACAACGCCTACATCCTCCACGACGGCTTCAAGGAGGACATCTACTTCTCGTATCCCCACGCCCGGGAGGGCCTGAAGGCGAATGCCATCGTGAGCCGAAAATTCCGCAACGAGCTCCAGCTCAAGTACAACACGACTTGGAGGAGTTGCGAGTCCTGGTTCTTGCATTCCGTCGAGTTCTTGCACGTTTTCCTCGGCACCGTGATGTGATACTCTCTGGATTCGCGTGTGAACCGTCCGAAGGGGGGGTCGGTTTGCTCAAAATTCCCTTTTTCGATGGTGTTCCATGAAATTCTACCAGTTTCGCAAGGCTCCTAAGATTTAACGTCATTTCGACCCATCTGTGCGGGGTGTTATGCAAATGTGACGCTGCAACTAAAACGTGCAATGTCTGAAAGATAAGGACGACAGTGACGTACAGAGCATGTCTGTAATTCATGCATGTTACACAAGAAGTATTCGATTTTCTGTGATTTCAATCCTCGGTGCACGTGATAATAAACTGCAAGTTAATCGAGAAGGATCTGAAAATCACACCAAGTGCGAGATTTTCAGGAAGCAACATTCTTTTCGAATTTGACCAAATCATCGAGGAAAATACTTTCCATGGCTGCGAATGAAATGCCGTGCGAGGTCTCGAGAGGCAATTTGCAGGGTCTCGAGTCGAACGAATTTTGAATGAATGAATGATATCGGCTTTGAATGAATGAAATCGGTCGCTATGAATGATAAAACACCTCCCTGTTCCGGTTTTCTTCATGTTTTCTAGATTTCCTTGTTGAATGATTATATATCGGTACTTCAATGGTATTTGTTTCATAAATTATGTGTCCTCATTTAAAACGAGCAGAAAACTTTCGTAGGAGTACCAAACATATTGTAGTTCCCTCGAAGCGGACTTACTTCCTGTGATCCTTTGTGGCCTTTTTTTGTTTTTACAAACGGTTGCTCCAAGAATGTCGCAAAATAATTTCATGATTCCGTTTCAGAGCCAAACCAATATATTTTTCAATAAAAAATTGCGGTTTGAAAAGGACACATATAATCAGCAATTTGTCGAGTGGAAGTGAAAATATTGAGATTTAGAATTTAAATGTTTATCCTATACATTCATCATTATTTTTCTTACAGCACCATTATCTCATTAATCCGTTTAAATGTTAAAGTATGATGGGAAGGAAATACACGCGGTTCTTGTGACACGAGGAAACAGGGCGAGAGCCATAACCTCGCTCTCTTCTTTTTCTGCTGATTTTCCAGCAGTGCCTTACCGAGAGTTTTTGCCAAGTGGGGACGGCCTCAGCCCAATGACAGCTCACCCTCGCTTTCATCTCGTTCCATAGTGCCATAAACAAGGACCCCCCCAAACAGCATGTTTATGTTAATTTTACGTAAAATGAATGTAAATTTTTTGTCCATTTTATATCATTTTTACGCAAACCATTGTCAAGAAAATGTCAACATGTTTGCAGGAATGTCACCGCTGTGATATGTAAACGGTGATATAAAATTAACGTAAATTTTACGTAAAATTGACATTCCCGTTTGCATGCCAAACACCATGTTTACATTTATTTTATGTAAGATTTGTGTTAATTTTCCCCTGGCATTCATGCGTATCTAAAGAGTCAACCAGTACCATTGAAGAGAATTGACATACTGAATCTCCTATTCCTTTACGTTCTTCAGAACTCTAGGGTGGTTGGACGAGTACACGAATACTCATCCTCACCAGCACTCTAAGGTACCAAAATGACCTACTGCTTCCTCCTCCCGTACCGGAATTTCGGGAGGAGGAGTACATGTTCAAAGGAGGTCTCTCCCTTTTAGGATAGTGCAGATATAGTACTTGTAGCGCTTGGATTCTACTCTTCCCTAATCCCGTGCACTGCTGTAATAAAAAGCTTAACTTCAGCATTTAATGATTCCCTGAGTCATATATTATAAAAATATATATAATAATTTCATGTTTTCCATATATATATTCATGGATTGCATAATAAAAAGTGGAAGGATGGTAAGAAAACCTGATACTATATCAGGAAGACCAGTACTTAATAGTAATTGTAGGATGCAGGGAACAAAGGTTCCATCTAGTGAGGAATCTTGGTACTGCAACTGCAGGATGGTCAGCTAAAGTTTCATATGGATGGTGTGGTGTTAATTTTTCATAAACTTGATATCATGTACTTCACGTCAGATGGAGTGACGTCTAGTGGATGTAAAATAGAGGTACACTTTGGTGACGTAAATATAGGAACGTAAATTTTACGTAAACGTGATGTCATTTTCATGGCAATCGCAAGAAATTTACATTGTTTGCAAAAAAGTGATATCTTGTTTACGTGAACATGCTGCTTGGGCCCTTTTGGGGTCTAAGGGGTTCCACGTTTCTCTTCCCCTTAAGAAGGAGGAGCGAGTGCTGAGCTCATAGGGTTGGAGCAAAGGAGTAAGGGGGGGATGGAGCGGTGGGCCCACGCGTCCATCAAAGCTCACTGCCTTCAACAACAGAACTTAAAATGATCCTAACCTTTCATTAATCTCTGACAGACCACGTACGGGGGGGAATCACCCCGTTCCAAATCACATTTGGAAACTCGTTTGGGGAGAACATTTTGTCATTTTGTGACCCAGAATCAGATGAAGTCGGAAGAGGGTCGAAGGGGAGTGCCAACGGTTCAGCTCAAGGCCAAGCTGTCGGGATATAGGGCTGACGGACGCTGTCTCGGTCAGCGCCATCTCTGGAGGTTCCGAGGACTTAGGGTTCCGGTCAGCGCCATGTCTGGGGGGCCCCAAAAAACTGAGGGTCCAGCCTTCTTTAACGTGCCAGATCTCGTCCTCACCGAGCAGTGTTTTTGCCATGCAGTGTTTGCCTCTCAGTGGCACGTATCCAATCGAAATTCTGCATCTTCTATCAGATAGAGTTTGACTAATGACCTGAAGGAGATGGGCAGGGGCGGACTGGGACTAAAAATCGGTCTTCATTGAAGCTGTGGTTTATAAGCCTACATTGATAACTGAAAGGAACTACTAGGCAATAATTAGACCTGTGGAATCGTACTGCGGGGGTGGCGACGCTATCGAAAAGATGTATTGCTGGTTCTCTCCCAGAAAACGTAGAAGCAGCTCCAGGATGAAAGGTGAAAAGGGGGAAATTTAATTAAATTCTCGTAAACCGACTTGGGATGTTTGAGTATAGTATAGGTTACTTGTCGAAAACCTGTGCACATACGGGGTGTGTCGACTGTTACCGACTTTGATCACTGAATGGCGATTCTCGATTAAAAAGAATCATTGTGACTTGGGAACTCTTCCCCAGGCCGCCCTGCGCATGCCCTATTTATGGTTCATTGGCCGAGACTGGGCGGTAGTCCCTCGAAAGAAACGTAAAATTAGAAAATGAGAAAAGTCGCTTTTGATGAAAGAACAAAGGGTGGAGATGAAAAAATTACAGGTGCCGAGAAGAAATCCAAGCTCCGATCTCGAGAGTCAAGAGTTGCAAACTGACGCTGTACAAAGCAATTATCTAGACTGCACAGCGCCAGTACATTCGAATTTACCGCAAGAGGGTCAGATTTCAACATTTTCACAGCGTTAAAACAAATTCTAACAGGGGAAATCGAATGATGTATTACACAGGAATTTGGGTTAAAAACAATTTGAAAGGTCAACTGGGTCACGCCTAAGGTCAACTAAAAAAAAAGTTAGCATATCTACAAAAAAAATTATGAATCGAATGAGCCATGATGAAAACCGCTTGAGACACCTGCGCTCGAATGAAAGTATTTATGTTATATCTTGACTGGATTGAGAATTCTCAGTTCCCGAAAACGGCGCAGACAAATTTTAGTTATGTGCCGAGGAACAACCCTATTTTTTTTCAAGTCTAGGAAAGAAAATGAAAATGTTAATACAAGGCTCGTGCTCTTGCAGATGAGACCCAAGAAAACGTTGCCAATCCCATCGAGGAGCGAGAGAGCAGGAGTCCGGCGGTGTTCGCGCGTACTCGTCAGGATGCTCATGGTTCTCCTGGCGCCGATATTCGTGGTGGACACTGTCCCATTTATTGTATGGACGGCGAGCGAGTCGTCCGCTCTGCGTCCGACGGTGACGGTAGATGCAAGATCGCATCGACTTGAACGCAGTGACAGGAACATTTCTCCCACGAGACAATTTTTTTTTTAACCCTAAAACGTGAATTTCTCGGAGGTTAGCATATTCGAGATGAATGAAAGTTTTTTTTTTCACAAAATGCGTGAGAGTGAAGTGTGCACGATAGTCTGACTAGTCTGCCCCCACTTCCGATGAAATCGAAGACGCTCAAATCCACTCATCCGTCCTGTTCCAGTTCATTTGAAGCGCTTCCCTATCTGCACGGTGTTTCGGTTTTATTACGGGGGTAGGCTGTCGTGCCCAATAGAGGCTCCCCTAGTCCTGCTGTTCGTTCGTAGGTCGTCTTGTTGGGCTCATGAAAGGACTTTTGGCAAGGGTCCAGGCCCTTGCCGAAAGTCAGGTTTTCCTGGCAGGCAGGGAAAAATAAAAAAATGAAAACTTCAGGATTTTCGAGAAGCAGGTTTTAGCCGGAAAAAAAATTCGTTTTTTAAATAAAACCATTGGAGCCAACCGTTGTCAGGTCTGCTCATAGGTCTAAGCTTAAACCTTATATGAATGTTTTTGTTCTCTCTGCCGGCAATGATAATGTAGACCTAGGCCTAACTTACTTTATATTGGCCCACTTTGAACGTTTCCTGCTGCAATTTCGGTGATTTGCTTTACTGCAGGGATATTCCAAAAAGTCCAGTTTCTCAAAGCTTGAAATTTGTGCCATCATGACCTGTCACATAAAGTTCACAGGCTCCGAGAGTCGAGTATATGCCTCTGTTGATGATAACTGCTATGCGTATTAGAATCAGGGCCAAAATGCAAATGAGATGTGTTCACTCTCGAGTAGTGCAGCTGATCAGGAGTCCAGGAATCGGGAGTGCATTTCATCATCTTCCCTTTTGGCAGTCCCAGATGATTACAAGGTGACAGAGACAGGTTGCCCATGGTAGCAATACATCACCAGCCAACCGGAGAGTGCCGGTGATGTGGTTTTCTGTATCTATTTTAAAATAAAATCGATTTAAAAGACAGACTTTAATATTGAAATGACTTGCAGGACCCAAAATGGAGTAAAAGTCTTGTTATTGATATCGTAACTGGATGTATCAGAATTCCCATGTCAGTTCAAGGCCTATGGGCAGGGATCCAGATGATTTTAAAATTAATTTCCAGAACCAGTGCCATTCTGCATCAGCGCTCCTCAGAAATTCCGTCAATTTTCAAAAGCAATCCAGCTTCCATCTGGGAATGCAGCAAATTCTAGCGAGAAATTTCCTTCATCCAGCTGGAGTTATTATGGTTTATGTCTGGAAAATCCCAGCTTCATCCAGCAGAAAAAGTCCAGCTAGAAATAGCATCCCAATTTACGACCCGCACCAGCTGGGAATCCAGCTGTTGCCAGCTAGGACTGTTGGATTTTTTTTCCAACTGGATTGATTGTTGTTTACAGTGGGAATTTTTTCCTGGGTTCATTTCGTCACTTTCCTCGAACGAGCCATTCGTGAGCTGACTCGAAGCGTTACCTGATATCCTAAAGACGTCCACGCTTAATGACTGATGTGCAAATGCCTGCAGATAATAACGTGTTCGGTATCTTTCAGAGTTATGATGTCTCAGAATTTTCTCATATATATTTGGGATGCCCGCGAGTGGGGATTGGCTCGTACTTGCGCGGATCGCTCACATCCCTTTTATTAATGACAGTAAATACGTTCGCTATTTTTCAAGCATGAAGCACCTCCTAAAGCAAATTGTTAATTTCAATGAGTCCTCTGAAGGAGTCCCATCTTTTCTTTTGCAAGTTTTTTTCCTCTATTCAGATATGTGCTTCGTAACTTCCGGGCCTGAAGCCCGTCACGACAATCCAGATCGGGTCTGCCTTCGCGATGATGTTGAGGGACTGCGACGGGAGCGACGTCCGTGCACCCGGCACCTCGACACGGCACCCGGCACCTCGACGCGGCACCCGGCACCTCGACACGGCACCCGGTACCTCGACGCGGCACCCGGCACCTCGACGCGGCACCCGGCACCTCGACGCGGCACCCGGCACCTCGACACGGTTTACTTTAGATCGTTTCGAGGTCGTTTTCTTGCATTTCATTTTCGGCGTGTTTCCCCTTCTCTCATTCGTCACTTACACTTCGCAGTGAAGTGTAAGATGCATTGCAAGAGTTGAACGCTGCTGCCCTCAGGATGCAATCCTTCCTCCATTCTATCCTGTACAGTATTTTTACTAGTTCGAGAGAGATGCACGTCACGGAGAGGAGGAGAAGGGGTGGTTGGAGGAGAGATATGTGTTGAAGGATGACTCAAACGGAAACTGCCATTCCCCGCTTCGCATGAGTCAGGGCTTTGGCTCCTGGCTCCATGGCAGCAGGTTTCAGAGGGTGTTCAAGGAGTCCTCCAAGGATGTGCCATACGGTCTTATGTGGGTGAGTGGTTTGCTTCCCCCGGCGATACATGTCTCTCTCTGTGACGTGCGAGAATCCGTTCTTGGTCCAGAAAAGGGATTATCTTTCTATCTCGATCTACTATCGCGCTATCGCAATATCATATTCCACTTCTCATTAGGCATTTTTAACCCTTTCACTTTTCTGCAAGAAAATGCCTCTCCACCTTGTGTAGTGGTAGACCTCTACTCCGGCTACCATTACACAGGCAGCGCGCGCAACCCGTGTATGTACTTCTCGCTTATAGCGAAAAGGTTAAAGATATATTCTCTTGTCCCCATTAGCGTTTAGGTTCCGAGAGGAACCGGAAGATTCGAAAAGTGCATCGTGAATCCAGGTGCAGGTATGTGCTGAGGAAGAAAACTTGAACCTTTTTTTTTTTTACTCGCCCCTTCGGCGCTCCATTACTTTCGATAATTCATTCATTTTTTGCGAAATGGGAAACACGTACGTCCTCATTGAAACACTTGACATATGGGGTCGAAAGACTTGATTTTTATCAAACTCTTTACTTCTATGATTCTGTGTGCCTAACTTTAAATCTATTCTTGTGTCCCTTTTAGCAAGGGTGGAGAATACATTTTCAAATACTTCCCTCCAATAATCTATTCTAAGGAAACATATTTCAAAAGTAGGATTTTTTATGTACTCAGCCATTAAACAGGTGCTTCTGAGGGAAGTTTAAATTTTCTGTCTCTGTTTCTTTGGATCAAAAAGAAATCAGGAAAAAGTGCCCTGATGTGTTTTAGCGGAAAATGTTTTTCTTCTGAAATGGAGACTTAGGGAACTCCATGCAATCCAGTTTCGGCTTTAAACGTTTCCCTTTTTAAATTAGCGTCAGTCAGTCATCTACTAACGATTGTCCATATATAATACAATTTGAATTTTTTTATTTACGCCGCTATCCATCAGGTCCTTATTTGGCATGTTTTTTTAAAACATTTTAGCGCCCTCTGGATCAGAAAATTCGTGAAAATACGCCTTTTGCAAAATATGTGCCCTGAGCCGTTTTATGCGAATCGCTCCATTTTTTTCTTACCGAAATCCATCCTCAGTGAACTATTAATACATGCCCACAACTTTTCAATATTATACGTTTCCCCTTTTCGCTGGTGAAAAAACATGTTTGGAAAAGCCGACTCACCCTAACGCTATGCCCGGAGGGGATGCACTATTAAAGTTGAATACTCCGTCAGCTCAGTAATAGCATTTCACTCATACGTGTGCCAAGTTTCACCTTTCCATTTCAGTCCAATTCGCCACGACAATTTTTTTCAAAACATCGCAACTCGAAAAAATTCCCCCAGGGGATGTATCGAGTATCAATTAGTTGAAAACATCTCCCTTTGAAATTTGTCCCCCCAGGGCATTTACTTCCAAAGTCTGAAGTTTTCTGCAGCATCGCAATAGGTAGGTATGTACCAAGTTTCATCTTTCCACACTAGCTCAATACGCAAGGACAAAAAAAATTGAAAACGTCAGCTCACAACAATTTGCCCCCAGGGCATGGATATACAATTTTGCATTTTTCCTAAACTCATCTTCTCGGTAGGCACCTCCATGTCAGGTTTCAGCTTTCCATGTCTCCGTTTCACTCAAGCAAAAGTAATGTTATGGAGGGGGAATGAGTAATGGGACATGGAAAGCAAAAAAAGCCTAAGACAGCCAAGCAATGGCCAGAAATTGAACCCTAACCTTCTGTTTGCCAGTTAGATACGCTATTACTACACCACCGAACCCAGTACATCCAGTTGGCCCTCTGAATGCCTTCATCATCTGTCACAAAATATATTTCAGAAAAATGGTTTCCCCCCAAAATGTGTACCCCCAGGGCATGTAAGGATAAAGGCGGATTTTTTCTGAACTCTGCATCCCAAAAGGTAAATGTGTACCAAGTTTCAGATTTCTAACCCTTCTAGAACATGGATAGAATTAGCGTCGGTCAGTCAGTCACGATCGTATATATATATTAGATTATTTTTTCGTCAATGGATGTCCAACTTTTGCTTCTCATATATGAGAATTGTTAGAGCCGACGTCTGCCATGCTGTCTGCGTAGGATGAATTTGCATCATATTTCGTGGGTTTTTTTTTTACCTTTGGGGGACTAAGGGGGGAAATGTCTGTCATCGGTGATTCACGTCAAGAGTACTTTTTTGCAATCTTTCTTTTCAGTCTCAAGCCATTAGTTTTCGACCGCTGGATTCCGCTCGATCCCAGCCTCATTGTGACGCCCGCCTTGCCAACCCCCCATTTCGCCTGTCATCCTTTCAAGAGTTGAACCAAGCGGCCACCATTTCGATCGTCCATAAGGTCATATGTTTTTTTTTTTTATTTTCGACGATTCTTGTGAGCTTGCGCTTAAAGAAAATCGTAAATAAAGTTTTTTGTGGGTTGACGTTTTCATGGAATTTTTGCCCCAAGGGCAAATGAACTCTGACATAAAGGTGTGAGATTCAAAGATTCAAGTATTCGCCTCTCTGGACGAGATCTGCTTCAAACGGGAGAATCATTGCCCATATCAGAAATTGAATCTTGAATTGTGGAGCTTATCAGGTTCCAGGAAGCTGGGGGGGGGGGGGGGGGTTGGGGGCATCTTTTATTTGGAAACCNGGGGGGGGTGGGGGGGGGGGGGGGGGGGGGGTTGGTTGGGTGCATCTTTTATTTGGAATCCTTCAAGAGCACATTACTGAATTGGGAATAATGTTATTTCAGGTATTCCGCGAAGGTAATTCCATTGGATTCCTGCAAGCATATTGAAAAACTAAATGTTGGAAGTTTTGTGTCACGAGGAGTCTCGGAAACGGCGGGGACAAATTGAAATAACATGTCGAGGAACATTCCATTTATGTTTTCATAGACAGTGAAAAGAAAAGGAAAATGTTAATGGAATGACCGTACTCTTGCAGATGAGACCCACAGTGACGTTGCCGATCCCATCGAGGAGCGAGAGAGCAGGGTTCCGGCGGTGTTTACGCGTACTCGTTAGGATACTCATTGTTCTCTTGGCGCTGGTATTCGTGATGGACACTGTCCCATTTGTATGGACGGCGACCAAGTCTTCCGCGCTGCGTCCGACGGAGACGGTAGGTGCACGATCGCAATAGATTCGGGATAACAGGACGGGTTTTGAGGAATCGGGTGCCTTTGCAGGACTGGAAGTTGGAGAGGCTGATGGCCGCGTTCCCACGCCTGACAACGGACGAGAGCGGGGACTATGCGGTCTTGCAGGACGCGGCCGTGGCGGACGGCGCGGTCGGCCGGGATGACGTCACTTGGGTCACGCAGTGCTCCGTGGATCATCTGCATCGGGTCGCACCGCTCGCGACGGCTTGGAAGGTCTGTTTTTCTCATTTATTCTGGGGTTTGGAATTGGGGGTGGGGTGATGCGATGGATCGCATCACCTCACTCCCGATCACTCCCGTGGATCGCGATTGATCCAAAAGGCTCCATGCGGTCAGTCAAATATAAATGCTTTGAATCGAATGGTTCGTCGAGTCGGAATTTCCGCTCACTCGTTTTTTCCTTTCTTTGCTATCGTGGTGCTATTGGCCTTCACGGAGATTTGGTTTGCGTGGACGATCAGATTCCCGAGATAACGAGCAGTGTCGATCTGCGTAAGCGCAAATGTGCTTCATTTGCCTCATTTTCCTCTTCACATACCGCCGATGCGGCTGCTCGAGTCCATTACGAATATACTGTCGCGCGCGAATTCCAGCAACGATCTCGCGCACCGTGGAACCGCGGAAGGAAAGACACGTTGTCCGAAACGAGTGTCGACTCGATCGTCCCTTACAGGGGCCGATTTCCCAGGCGGTGTTCACGTCGACGCCGGCCAACGCGAACGCGACTTTGCGCGTGATCGAGTGCCTCCGAGAGATGCACCCGGACGTCTCGGAGAACGTGACTTTTCACCTCGTTTTCCCCGTCCGACTGACGGCGGACGAGCCGGACGTCCAGACGCAAGCCTTCGAGGAGAAGCTCCCGTGCCGATCGGTCCTAACTGCGATGGCAGGGGCACAGAACGCGAGGACGAACTTCGCCCGTCGGGACGTGGAGTACCCGCCGAATCTGCTGAGGAACGTGGGTCGGAGGGCGGCAAGGACCGAGTTCGTGTTTGTAGTGGATGCGGATTTTCTTCCCGATCTGGGCATGAGGAAGGATTTCCTCCGATTCGCGAAACGAGAACGCCTCTTCTCTCCGGAAGCGGGGAGGCAGAAGATCGCCTACGTCGTTCCTGCGTTCGAGGCGAGGGAGGTAGTTGCCATTCCGAGAAACAAGACGAAACTCCTCGATCTCTGGGACGGAGGTCTCGTCCGACCCTTCTACGCCGACATTTCGTCGCTCATGCAGGTTGAGAGACACACCCAGACCTTCCTCATAGTCCTCCCCCCGAGTGCTTCCTCCCCTCACGCGTATTTTCAGGGACCGACGAACTACCAGAGGTGGAGACGACTCCCTCCCACAGAGGGGATCGCTATCGCGTCCGATATCCAGTGGCAGTCCTTGTACGAGCCCTTCGTCATCATCAGGAATTCCGCGCCCCTCTTTCACGAGCCCTTTCGGCAGGACGGCTGGGATAGGTTCAGTCAGGTGAGTCGTTTCTTCCCATCGTTCTCTAGGGGGAATCCACAGGAATAGCTTCCTCGGAGTGCTTGTAGGAAGTGTTTTTTTTTTCTTGGAATCCCAGGAGACGATCGACTAGAAGGAACACCGAAAGACACGAAAAGCTACTGAAGTAGTATGGCGTTGTCACTCAACCCCATAGGGAGTTCAGAAATTCCTTCCCCATAAGAGTATCGACTATTTAAAGAAATTACGGCGGTTACACTATACGATTCCACAATCCGAGGCAGTACTCACTCGATCCAGATGCTTGCAAAGTCTTTTTTGAAAAGAAATTTGTTTTGTTTATATTTTCGGCTCTAAACAGTTGCCCGTAAATTATCAAGGTTGGATAATTTCGCTATTTTTCTCGCAAAAATCTTTGGAGATGGCTTAAAAACCATTTTGGATTTCTGAAAAAAAAAAACTTTTTTCACAAATTCCCATGGGGGTATGAATTTTAGTGTAATATGTAGCGAGGCAAATCGCTTTGGATTCAGTCCAGAAAGTGCACTAGGGGTGATGTTCGGCCTCGTTCCACTTTCACTTCATTTTTCTCGATTCGTGGTATTCGTAAATGTTGCATTTTCTTCCAACAACCATAAATTTCTCATTAGTGCGGATGGTTCGATGAAAGGATGACTGGATGCTATTGACACATTGAACTGAACGATGAGCCATTAATATCGAAGTAAGTATGCATCTGTGGACTTGATTGAAGCTTGTTGTTACGGTGGGACGTTTTCGGTGCAGTCGATCGTTTCTGACATCGATACAAATAATATTAAGGGTCCTGGAGGTCAACCGTGATGCGATAAGATGCAGGAGATCGTCACAAGCAATTCGAGAATTTCCAGAAATGACTAGTTTTACTGTAAAACATTCCGTTTTAGTCTCATGGGAAATGCTTCTTTTTGGTCTGATACACTCATGCCCATGGTGACCTCGTTCTTGACCTCCTTCTTGGTGACCACTCCCTGGAGCAGATCTACGAACTGCACGTGGCCGGGTACGAGTTCTCTGCCCTGGACAACGCCTTCGTGATGCACGACGGATTCAGAGTGGGCAGTTACTTCAAGACCCGCAAGAGGTTGGTTGACCTGAAGGCGAACGCGGTGCGGAACCGCGCATTTCGCTCGCAGATCTCCAGAAAGTACAATGAATCGTCGATGAAGAGCGAGTCGTGGTTCCTGCATTCGCTGGAGTTCGCGCACGTGCTCCTCGGGACGATCCTCTGAGGATCGGCATCGACGATCGGCAACGGCGATCGGCATCCAAGATCAGGCAGGCATCCAATATCAGGCATCGATGATGCTGCGGTGACTTTAATGCGTGTGCTTTGTGCGCAGTCTGTGCTAATTTTAAACTCTGTTCCTCAATTTCGTGTTGCTTACTTCAAGGTTATCGCAGATATGTACTTTTTTTGTTGCTGCTGTTGGTTCGACTCAGTTATCGAAGGAAGACGAATGGTCTCATCCGATGCAATAATGTAAAACCTATGTCTGTCTTTCGAATCCAAAGGACCTCGGTTTTGAAAGCGCGATGAAACGCTACGAGTTTGCTAATATGCGGCTCCCTCTGTTTCGAGCCCGTGAATCAATTCATTACAAAGGCCAATGTTTAAAGGAATAAAATGGTTCATTATTTCCGTTTCCTTCCATGAATGCACTTCAAATATTTCCAACACTGCTCATGGCTGCCCGATTCTCCCGATTGTATTTGAATTAGAATCCGAATTCAAGGTAATATATTCTCGATCTACCTAGGTACTGACCACAATCGTCACCGGCTCTGGTACCGAGAGATGGTTACGAGATAAAACTCGGCCTACGTCCAACAAACCAAATGTGTTCATCGGCACAGACTCAAACTGAACCCATAAAGATTAGGATATTATTTTCCTTCTCATTTATATTAGGCTTAGTATCTTGAGGATCGAACGTTGCGTCCCTCCTCGCGTCAAACGTCGACGGAACGCACGAAAACTTTACAAGAGCGAACCACGAATCTAACTGGAGACGAAGGAAGGGCGAAGCGGATGATCCGTTCCAGAAAAGTCTCACGCTCGTGATGAATTTGAGAAGCGAATGGAGGAGAAAAAATATTCCAGTCCATGGTCCTCGTAGAGGGGGATACCCGACCTAATAGGCGAAATTCACTGCGAAGGAGGAGAAAACCAACGAAAACCGAAACGAAACCCCAGAATAAATGAGAAAAACAGACCTTCCAAGCCCTCGCGAGCGGTGCAATCCGGTGCAGATGATCCACGGAGCACTGCGTGATCCAAGTGACGTCATCCCGGACGACCTCTCCGGCCGCTGCGTCCGCCACGGCCTCGTCCCGCAAGAAATCTTAGTCCCCGCTCTCGTCCGTTGCCAGGCGTGGGAACACGGCCCTGAGTCTCTCCACCCTCCTGTTCTGCACACGCACCCGATTCCTCAGCACTCGTCGAGTTCGCCCGAGTCAATCCGATCTTGCATCTACCGTCACCGTCGGACGCGGCGCGGACGACTTGCTCGCCGTCCACAGAAATGGGACAGTGTCCACAACGAATACGAGCGCCAGGAGAACCATGAGTATCCTGACGAGTACGCGAATGCACCGCCTGACTCCTGCTCTCTTGCTACTCGATGGGATTTCCAGCAACTCCGTAGGTCTCATCTGCAAGAGCACGATCCATCAATCATCGGTTTCATATTCTCTTATTGTTTAGAAAAAAAATAGGAATGTCCCTGGGGGAATGATTAAAATTTGTCTGCGCCGTTTTCCAGAACGGATTATTCTCAACCCAGACAGTTTATAATGCAAAAACTTCCAACATTTAGTTTTTCAACATGCTTGCAAGAATTTGAAGAAATTCCCTTCGTGTTATACCTAAAAGAACATTATTCCCATATTCAACACCGTGCTTTGGATGGCTTCAAAATGAAAGATGAAGCCAAGCTATACACCCACCGACCCCCAGGTTCCTGGACCCTGAGCAGCTGATCGCAGTTAGCATGTGATCAAGCGAAACTCGTCTGTCGAAAGCAAATTTCCCCCTTAACTCTTCCATCAAGCTCACAGTCGAGCAGGTCAAGCCAGGAAGATGCTGGCCTCTGTTGGAACTGCGCATGCTCCAACTTACCTGGTATTGCGGGGAACAGCCCGAGCCCACCACTTCCAGTTCTATTGACATTTTCTTACGTATGTGATGCTCGCAAAGGAAGTTTGGCAACATTTATACTCCCCTTCATTTGTCTGTGTCCACACATCTCCCTTTTCTGAAGCTTCTCCATATTTCGCTCAGTACCTTCCTCATTTGGAAGGTAAAAAAATCTGGGAGAAATGTGCTCATGGCATGCTTCAGATTGTTAAGGAGAAAATCGATTCTCTGTAATTCAAGATCTGTAAATAAAGTTCTGCATTCCTATGAGGGATGATTCCATGGAAAGAAGGAAGAAGACTTTTGTGTACTGTTCGAAAAGCGAGACCCATACCGACATCTGGTTGCCAAAAGGAGAACTTCAATTTTTCCACAAAAAAACCCTCTCCTTGCAACTTGTGGAACATAGGATCATTGCGTGAGTCTGATATTCCATCGATAATGGAATGGCAATATTGGAAAAACAATATTTAGGTGGTATTGGCAATAATGGCATGGTGTATAAACATCGTGCCCAATGTTGGTCCAGCATTGAGCCAATATCTGTCTGCTTTGTCAGTTATCAGCCCTACCTAGGAAGACACTCACATCAGTAGGCTATGGCCTACTGATGTGAGTGATGTGAGAGTTATGAAATATGAATTTCTCCAAACTGATGTTTGGAGAAATATCCTTGATGGAAATGTATATTGTTTGAAACAGTAACTAGTATGCATCATATGATGATGAGTAATATCAAATACTATTACTTTTCAGGGAGTAATTGACAATAATATAACTATGAACATATACTGCATGTCAATTGAAGTGGATATTGTGTACCTAAGTTGCATTTGAAGAATTTTGATGTTACCTGTTTTTTTTTTACATTTTTCTTGAGTATTTGTCAATTTACTGTAGACTTGTAAAGTATAACTTGAAAACAATTGTCATTTATTTCACACAAAAATGCCAAGTTACTTTTAAACAAGAAAATATAAAGCAACCACTTAAATTGACATGCAGTGTATTTGAAAATGACTTATTTACAAGAAATAATTATGACATGGCTGCTGGCACATGAATGAATTATATTTGATGGATTGTGAACCCTCAAAGAATTCTTGTGTTCTCACTCATTGACAAACTTGACTTCTTTTTATACATGTAAGATATGACATGGCATGAATGGGCAATATATGGTGCTACTGTATGATCCAAGATATGAAATATAAATGGAGGATTTGCTTCAATCCATACATGAATATTTATTACTTGTGTAAAACCCCATATATAATTTTCATGTATCTGCAAATCTGGATTGAAATGTATGGCCATGTCTGTCTTAATTTATGCTGAAAGTGCTACAAATATGCTTCCATGTAATTTCTGAAAGAATATGAAATTTTCACATGGATGCCTTCAGTGGAAAACTGAAAAATAACTTAACTGTCGCTGCTTTTACACCTCAGTTTGATTCTCAAGCATGGATTTTTTTTTAATTCAAACAGCAAACTTCTGAATTGAAGAAAATAAAGGAAGAAAGTAAGACATGCTACATGAGCACTGAAGCTGCAGGGGGACTGTTATGCCTAATGCCAGGCATGCAGAAAGTTACTTACCTTTACATTTTGAAGTGCCCAGCAACCTCTGGACAATTGTTCCACAAGATGTGTTTTAATCCCCAGGCCATCCCTATTTAGCAAAAATTCAACTCAGAAGTAAAATTTAACTGAATTTAAATAAGGATTGATTTAGCTTGAAAAAAAAGGGTGCAATGTTGAAAAGCTGTAGAGAAGCACATAGCGAGATGATAATATTGACTTAGAAAACAAAAGAAGTCTGTCATTATTATGGCATATATTTTCCTCTACATTCATGATCTTGTCAAATCATGCAATTCTTCCACACCAAAAAATACTGAGAATTTGTTCAAGACAAGAAATCAATTGCTGGTATTTAAAACTTTGAGAAAACAATCATGATATTCACACTACCTAAAAAAAATTATGATATTGCACCTCATTCAGTCATTGAAGTCATTTAGTCATTGACTAAAGGCAATAGATGAATATTTTGTGGGTTAAGAATACGCCGAAGGATGACTGGCAATAACTGTGTGGCTCTCATTTACATATGACTCTATCCTTCAACATGAATTTTTCCTTTCCTTTTGGAGGTAGGACAGTTCATTTTGTTTTTCAGGTGAATGTCAGGAAGAAATTCTAGTGATGAGGATGCTCAAGGCTTGCATTGGATTATTTCTGTGAATATACATGAAAACCTCATTCCTGGCATTCCTGCAGTATTTCCTTTTGCATAAAGTTCGGATGTTCTCATGGACCGATTTTGCATGGGTCGAAGTTGCGGATTGTCTGAGGAAAGGAGACACTCAGTTCGCAGCTGAATATTAACTATTTGAGTTTAACGGGGTACGGATTAGTTAGTAGTGAGCAGTGTGAAAAAATGTGAGCTGTAGTGGGGGGAAGGAACAACCTATCTCGAACATCTCTTCTACCCGATTTTTATCCAAACTGTGCTCCTCTTCTGTGGAGTTATGGGAACTGAAGTGCGGTGTCTTTCACCTATGCTTTATGTATGATGATATCATCATCCTTAGTGTTGTATGACATAGTGAATGATTCCTAAATTAAAGGATCATAACAACAGAGGAGCGTGTGAGGATGGTTTATTAATCCGTAATGGCATATCAATTTTGAGGGCAAGTGAAATCATGTTCTTGTCAGTATCTGACAGTTCCATAACCCTTGTGACTGAATCTCCATAGGATGAACTTATCAACACAAGTGATGGTGGATGAAAACCTGGTAAACCTTTGCATTGTGGATACCCATGGGCAGGAATATTTCGACCGTTTGCGACTCCTTGTTTATCCACAAACGGTAGGCCTTGTCAGTGCTAATTAGAAATCCTCACAATCATTAGGGTTTTTAATTATTTGTATCTGGTCTTATTTATAAATGCATGACCGAAGACAGGAGCTTCATAGGCATTGAGCCTTGAGCAATGAGCTGTGAGGGTTCAATCTAGCAATGTTGACATCTCCTATTGCACTTGATTGAGGAGTTGCTGAAATTATATGAATACATAATCAGCTCAGATAAGCATCTAAGATGTTCTAGAAATTCAAAGTAGATCTTTCGATGGAGAGACTATTTCGAATCATGGCATTGTCAACTGATGAATGGCTTTAGCTAAATGACATACTTGATCTATCAAGTTCTGTCCAACCAGAGATCTCATTTCAGTTCTAGAATATACAGGGAGTCCGGAAAAAAGAACACCCTCACATATTTGTGAGTTTCTCGGCAACCTGAAGACTAAATTGCTTGACAATTTGAATAAATAGAGTTAAAATAGTCAGGAAACAATTATTAAAATATTAGGTGGATCAGTTTGACCTGAACCCTGATTCATATAATTCAATGAAATTATCTCAAAATTAGACCAATTGTTTTATTTTATCACCTCAGTTCAAACAAAAACAACACCAATCATTGCAAATAAGGAACAATCATCGCTGTGTATTAAACTGAGATACTGAGTACTGTAAATTTTACAGGGCATAAGTTGTACTTACGCGCAATTGTCGAAAAGTTTTATATTGCTGGTATTATTTATGGACTCCTGTCACTAAGAATTATGTTCATTTTCTCCTTCAGGATGTGCTCCTGATTTGCTTTTCATTGGTGGGACCTTGGTCCTTTGAGAATATCGAATGTAAGGTGAGTTATTTTTCCAATTAATTATGAGGCGGCAATTTGGCATATACAGTTGATTATCGGGGATATAAAGTCCTGTAAGGTGTTTCCAGTGCCGTAGTGACCAAGTAGGTGGAATTGGATCGTCACACTTGTAGGGTGCACAGGTAATGATATGGGAAGGTCATTTTGCTTAAGAAAAGTCGAGATGTCTCTACTATCATACCAGGTGGCAGCACAATTACCGGCTACACAATTACCGGCTACACAATTTAATACCAGGCCATATGACTTGGACACATTCCGAAACAAACAGAAACATAAGATTGATACAGTAAGAGGCTAATCTCATTAAGAATTATTATCCTAATGCAGGGGTCGGGAACCTTTTTGGTCATGTGAACCATATTAAGACTGAGTTAAGTGCTCTTAATCCAAAGACTTTCAAAACAACAGAATTTTTGCTAAAGTTGGCAGCAGACAAGTGCATTCTTTGATACATGAGAAAGATGAGGAACAACCATGATTTTTAGCCATGACTCATGAGTCAAACTTTTCGGTTCATGAGCCAAATTTCCTCTATGAGCCATGAGTCATGAGCCCGACCACTGTCCTAATGCATGGAAATCTCAGCAAACTCTTCATGCATATCGGTCCGGGAGAAATGCCTATTTTGTGTCCTGTTCAATCTAATGATACATCTGATGGCGCTGCCACCTGTTATGATAGTGGGTCCATCTCGACGTTTACGATGCTGATGTCATGTCTTGCCATTTTCTGAGCAACACGCAGGTTTGGTGATCCAAGTCCATCAACTTTGATCACTACATCGTTGTAAATAATCCAAAGGAACTCATAATCACCATGTACTTAGTGATAAAATAAGAGAAACATGGATGAATCTTGATGGGACAGCAAGATCTTGAAATTGAATGAAGAAAATGGAAATGACATGGGTGAAGAATAGCCATGATTCTCCCTGCCTTCTACAAAACCTTGCAAATCAAATCTTGGCAAGTTAAGTGCTTTCTTACGTAGCATCAAAATCTCACAGGTGGATGATAACATTGTAAACCGAAGTATTTCGCTTAGTCATGGAGATTATTCACTTCCTGATATGAGATACATATTTGTCATGGATTCCAAGGAACCCTACCAAAACATACCTTCATTTTACTTCGGCGTGACAAAGCATATCGAGGAATTGCAGTATTTTCCATATTCTAGTAGACATTCATTCAGCCACAAGAATATGCCCATTGGATGTCTGTCCTGGGTTTCCTCTCTGGCGTGTTGGACTGACTCTCCACCATGAGACCATATATTCTCTGATTGAGCCGCATCTAACCTCTTGAGCAAAAATGGTTATCTGATTTAAGTGAACCCAAGAACTGGAAGAGAAATTGATGATCTCCAGGCATTTCAACATTTATATTATAACACCAACTATATGGGCAAAAAATATAGTGTTGTGATTCAACCATTCTTAATTTCATGAAGTCAAGAGTTCGTTCTGCCTTGAATGATACAGTCACACAAAAATGCTTCACATTTCCGTGGTATGCTCAGACTCTTCCATACTGATGGAAAAATAAGGCATGGTTCTTCTTACTTGAATTTAACCTTCCAAAATCATGACTAAGCATCCTCTACCCAATAAATTGTTAAGAAATTAAATATATATATTCCTTAGTGGTATCCTGAAGTGAGACATCACTGCCCTGAAGCACCCATTATTTTGGTTGGTACTCAGTTGGACCTACGTGAAGACAAGGAAATGACTGACAAGTTGAAGAAGAGAAATACCCTCCCCATCTCATATCCACAGGTAATTTTTCTCCATTTGAGACTATGTTTACTTAGGACAGTATTTTATTAAATCTGTTCGATTGGAAAACGTGGGAATTTTTAGAAATATATTTGAAGCAAAGGAATCAAGTAATTTTAAATTGTTATTAAAAAGAAGTAGAAAAGCTGGCACCAAATATCTATGCTCTCACAACAAGGATTTGATTTTAGGTGAAAGCCTTGTTGCATTATTTTGCAGGGCCTCGCCATGGCAAATAAAATATCAGCAGTGAAATACTTAGAATGCAGTGCCCTGACCCAGGAAGGCTTGAAGAAGGTCTTCGACGAAGCCACCCGTGCAGGGTTACGTCGAAAACCTATGCCCAGGCAAAAGAACAAATGTTTCATCATGTGAGAGACAGCTGGCAGTTCCCTGACCCACCGATCCCTTCCCATTCCCGTTCCCGATTGACGCCCCTTCTCTTTCCCATACCTTGCGAACAAGAAATGAAAGTACTGCCACCATTCTAGACAGCCAGACTCTCTTTGCCTGACTTCCCCTTCTGACAAACCTTAGACAGCCTCTGACTCGGTCTATTTTTTTTACAATGACGACATAAACTGTCCTAATCCCAGATAACAACGTTGGCCCAAAGTGACGTTAACGTGGTGGGCAAAGATGGCGGAACGTGAATCCTGGGAACGATGTTTGCCCAATATGAATTAAATGTAGGTATATCCCCGGTTGAGAAGAACTGCGCAACTCCTGGCGAAGAACTTCAATATTTCGAAGTTCCCCCCGGAGCATTAGATGGATGTGGGGATTTCGCTTTTCACATAGTACACAAAGGTGCCCTTCTCTCTTCCCCTAGAAACATCCCTCGCATATGTGCTTAGTATCTCGTCATTGGCCTCGCCTGGCCTCATTATTGGAGTCTATCAACGAGAACACTTCATAATATCTTATCAACATGTTTGAGACATATCATGGAGCCCAGACCATAAAGAAGCTCATATTTCTCATAAGAATCATTTTGTAAGGCAGGTGATCTCATCCGCAAATAAGGTGTAGAAAATTGATGGTGTCCATGATTTTCATCCATTGTTTCCTCATTGGATAGCAAAATGAGAAAATAAAGGACCGATTTCACAGATTCTACAGAGAACCGTAAGGATTGGACTTTCCTCCGAAATGTGTCAAAACTGCGTTAAAAAAAAACTGTGCCAAATCATTTACGCAATTAATGACAGTATATATTATCAAATCGACTTAATTTTTTACATCCAGCGTGTAGATAGAGGAAAGAAGTTGGGTCATTCTGTGGCAAATAGCCAAAAATTTGCAAATTAACACCCGACCCCATCGGATTTTGATGAAATTTGGCATACATGTTTATTACGTCATGAAATCAGGAAATACCACATTTAAGCCTCATCGAACACTTCGGTCTTCTGCTACAGGGTGCTCAAAATGTATGATGATCTTCTAATCCCTGATATTTGAGACCAGTGTAACTCAAAAAGTTATTATGCTCTTTCTTTCATTATGCTGTCAATCAATCACTATTGAGTGAAGATTCCATAACTTCCATGACAATGTCACTCAAGCAGAAAACGCGCGATGAAGTTGGTTGGCTAAAAATTTTTTTTAAACACATGGCACAACATTACAAAACAATAATCATTTTCGCAATGCATTCCAACTTCGTCTCTTTAGCTATGCTAAGGATTACGGGTTCTCATTTATGTCCCACCCTTAATGATCCTGTCATCAATCGGCGAATTGATAATGGTGAGCTGTTCTTCGTCACCTGAAGACGTCATCAACCCTGCAGGAATTACTTATGATATAATACTGCAATAATTTTGAAAATGATTTTACCCATAAATTTCAAGCATAACTGTCCCACTCATAACACGTATCTTGCGTTCTTATCTTGTTAGGTACAGGACATCTGAAAGGGGACATTTCTAGTCAAAATTCTCCCACCCATAACGTTTTCTGTTAAATCTTATAAAATGGAATTCATTACGGTAACCATTTATTTTGAAATTGTATTCTGTTTCGTATTGTGGATATTAGTAAAAATCCGAAATTGTAGTCTTTTAGCCCAAACCGTTCCAAAGATATCATAGTGAAATATTTCGACGAAGAACGCGATGATTCTTCATGAGTCAGGTGGACATGAAGCTTGTTGTTGTGGTGGGACATTTTCGGTTCAGTGCATTGTTTCAAATAACAATACAAGTTATGGTAAGGGTCCTGGAGCTCAACCATGATACGATAGATGCAGGAGAACATGACAAACACTTTGAGATATTTAGAAATTACACGTTTTGTTGTAAAATATACCGTTTTCGTCTCATTAGAATTGCTCATTTTTATCCTGATACGTTCATGCCCATTGTCACCTGATTCATGTTCGTTTCATTCTGAGAACCTAAATACGAGGTTCTAGGGGGAAACCCCTATTCTCTCTTTTTATTTCTTCCGCCCGTTTTCATGAAGCGAAATTTATTGTTCACTCCATACAATAAGTGCTCACGTCAGGTTGGATTTCTTGTTTTCCCCTCCCTGGACTAGATCGACGAACTGTAATAACGAGCCTTCCAGGATTCTCATTTCATCGGAGTGGAAGGAGTATGGCGTGGAAAAATATATGGCAAAGCTGCATTGATTTGGCAACTTAGCACTCAAGCCTCCTCTCTCCGGTCTGAGTCTCATTCCGATCGCTTTCGAAGCGAGGCAGCCCTTTCCCTCTTAACTCTTCCATCAGGCTCCCAGTCGAGCAGGTTAGGCCAGGAAGACGCTGATCTAGGTTGGAAGTGCGTATGCTCCAACTTACCTGCGATAACGGGGAACAGCCCGAGCCCACTATTCCTAGCAGGCAGCATTCTACTTCCATTTTTTTACATATGTGATGATTGCAAAGGAAATTTTGCAGAGTATATCCCACCCTTTCTATGACTGTGTCCACACATCTCCCTTTTCTGAAACTACTGCATATTTCACTCAGTACCTTCCTCCTTTTGAAGGAAATGTGGGTGCAAAGTGCTTATGGCATGTGCAGCATATTATATAGCTCATTAAGAAGGTCGTGCCTAGGGACCTGATACAAGAAGCAGGCTGTAATCAGCAGATAAAAGCAGCCCTTCTCCGGGAACGGATATACTGACCATCAAACCACTTCACCACCGATGATGTCCAATGGGGAGACGTCCTGATTAATAATCTGGAACGAAAAACCTTATCGGCTCCATCCCGGAAGATCCGGGGAAGAAAAAGGGGGAGTCGAAGAAGGTCGAGAGAGAGGAAATAGAGTGATAGCGAGAGCAGGAGCGAGGAGCAGCTTGTGGGGTGGGGCGGGGAGCAAGTTGAGATTTGCCTGTGAGACGGTTTTCCTCTGTCCCTGGTGTTGTGTCTTTCGTCCCTATATTATTTTTTTTTAATCATCCTTTTTCCTTTTAAACTTTTGGATATTTATATACATGTGTAATTATTTGGAAATTCCGATAGTGGATATTCTTTTCCGAATTCTCTTTACCGAACCCGAGATTACCAAATAATCCCACAGTCGTGTGTTGAAATCATTCCCTATTTAATACGTGACACGTGCTTCATATTGTTAAGGAGAAAATCGACTCTCTGGCATTCAAGATCTGTAAATAAACTTCTGCACTCCTGTGAGGGAGGATTCTATGGAAAGAAGGAAGAGGACTTTTGTGTACTATTCGAAAAGCGTGACCCATACCGACATCTTGTGCCCAAAAGGAGAACTTTAACATTTCCATTTAAAAGAAAAAACCTCCTTGCAACTTGGGTACATAAGATCATCGCGTCGGTCTGATATTGAATCGATGATGGAGTGGCAATATTGAAAAGCAAATATTTAGGCGGTATTGGCAATAATGGCAAGATGTATCGACATCGTGCCCAATGTTGGTCCAGTATTGAGCCAATATCTGATGGTACTAGGGTGGTAACACTGGATAGGTTCTTGGTCGTTTCTTGAAAAGAAAAGTTTTAATTCCCCATTTGGCGATTCTTGCTCCATGATACTACCATAAAAATGATTTTTAAAATGCGAATGAAGAAGGTATCATGGTGCCATAACACTTCTATAATATTCACGCAACGTTGGACTTTCACCTTCAAAGTCGATGACATTGTGTCGACTATAGAGGAACGTTCCGAAAACGCTACTATGTTTCTTGGGTTCTTACATGGATTCAAAATCACACAAGTGAGTGATAACATTGTAAAATGAAGTGCAGGAGATTAGTTGCAGGAGATAGACTTAGCATCTGGAAGTGTTGAAGTTCCCCTCTGGGGCATTAGATAGAGGAGGGTATTTCGCTTTTCATATAGTACTCAAAGGTGCCCTTCTCTCTTCCCCTAGAAACATTCCTCACACGAGTGCTTAGTATCTCGCCATTTGCCTCGCCTGGTCTCATTATTGGAGTCTATAAACGCGGACACTTCATCATTTGTTATCAACATATTCGGGACAGATTCGCGAGGCCATAAAGAAGCTCATTTTCCTCATAAGAAGCATTTTGTAAGGCAGGTGATCTTATCCGCAGATGAGGTTTAGAAAATTGATGGCTTCCGTGATCTTCATCCATTGTTTCCTCATTTGATAGGAAAAAGAGAAAATATAGGACCGATTTCACAGATTCCCTCCATTAACCAAAAGAAAGTGACGGGAAGTCTCTCCTGACTCGGCCGATCCGAGTCGCATTGTCGAAATCGTTCGTCGAAGAGGGACGCGTAGTTTCAGCAGGCGATCACGAGGGTCTTGTACATGTACTGCCAGTGGATCTTTGTGGTGAGGGCGATACCCTCCGTGCGAGGGAGTGGTCATCACCTCTGGATGTCTGTCGGTAACTGCAAATACGCGTGAGTGGAGGTTGCTGGGGTGGGTCTCACCTATAAGAGCAAAGCATAGGCAGACTCGAAGGGTCGGATAGTCCGCCCATCCAAGAAAGCAATGAGTTCTGACCTGTTTCTCGAGATGGCAACTCCATCCCTCGCCTCGAACGCGGGCACGACGTAGGCGATCTTCTGTCTCCCCGTCTCTGGCGAGAAGAACCGTTCTAGCTTTGCGAATCGAAGGAAATCCTTCCTCATGCCCGGATCGTGAAGAAAATCCGCAACTAAGACGAACACGAACTCGATCCGTGCAGAACTCGATCCGACCCACGTTCCTCAGCAGATTGTGCGGGTACTGCACGTCCCGATGGGCGTGGTTCGTCCTCGCGTTTTGCGTCCCGGCCACCGCCGCCAGGACCGTTCGGCACGGGAGGCTCTCGTCGATTCCTTTCATCTGGACGTCCAGCTCGTCCGCCGTCAGACGGATGGGAAAAACTGGTTGAAAAGTCACGTTCTGCGACACGACCGGAAGCGTCGCTCGG